GGCTGAGGAATATAATACATTTTCTATTTTCATGGCACAGTTGTGTTGGCTTTAATGAATGGATTTACATAATGGTTTTCTAATTGCAGGAAACAACTACGTTAGAAACCCAAGCGTGGCGGGCGGTTTAAGTCAGATCGACAATAAAACGCTTCAGTGGTTCGGTGCAACGGTTTCAGCTTCGTTGATAGATGGAGGTCCTATTTTGGTAAGTCAGTGTATTAATAATAATGATACAATATTTAAATTCGTCAATAATAATTAGTTGATATTCGTGGAATAGTTGTATGTTGACCATGAAGCAAAAGCTTAAGTGATACCAAGAGGTAGTTGCTAATAATATTTTATTAATTTATTAAATATAGTATTAAAGGTACAACACAAATTTGCACTTCATACGCAGTATTTCAACACACACATGTATAAGAATCGTTTCTCAGTTCTCATACATCATTCGATCATTCAGTACATCGATTCTAATAATTCTCACAGTTACTCGATTATATTTTCGATATTATTTTTATAAAAATAATTCCACACAAAGAATAGAAAAAGACCCTGAAACTGTTAAGGTTTACAGCTTTAAGCACATTAAAAGCGACGCATATATTTTTTTATAAACGTAAAAATAACGTATTCAATCAATGTTGACGTCATTCTAAAAAAAACATACAAAACTGTAGGAATAGATTGCAAATCTATTGAGTAAAAAAATAAATATTACACTGTGTAAAATGGAATAAACCGATGTAGTTTCCGAAAAGCCGAAGAAATAATAATTTTCTAAAATGTTTGACGGAGATGCATGAGCTGTCCATTAGTAGAAGGCCATGTAACAATTTTCCAAAATGTTTTATGAAGACGCATGAGCTGTCTATTAGTATAAAGTCGTCTTATGCCGTACGATTCTTTCTCCGCTTCTTGTTTTGCATCATCAAATGGTATTTATAAAGGTACAAAAGCAGTCGTTACGAATAGATGAAGGGGTTTTGTGAGAAATTACAGGCATATGTTCTCAGAAGACCGCATCTTCTATTTCAGGAATTGAAAACAAACGAATTCCTGTTACGTTCTATGTTCCGGTTGCTTCGTTCGGCAACCGTTTTGACTACTTTGCTGGATAATTGAAGTAACTTTTAAAAGCTCTCAAATTCTGCCGGAAACTCGACGATAGCAGACGTTAAAATATTTATAATATCGTAACTTTCGATTTATATATTTCCACTTGCATTGTTCAAGTTTTGTTCCATTTTGTGAGTAGAATTTAACGTAACATTTTATCTTCATCGCAATTTGCTGTTTTTTTTAATCTGTATGCATATTACATATTTGTCGATACTTTTTCACATTATATGTCTACATTTCGGTGAGATTTAAAAAAATTAGGATATAGACAAGATTAACCCTTTGCACTCGAGTGGTGACTCTGAAGACCCATTGAAATTGTTGCATCACGTTTCAAGATAATTTTTATATTAACAAAGTTTAGATTTAAAAAATTGTTAAAAGTATAACTGTTGTTACGAGTCATCACAAGACTCAATTTCATATGCATAAAATGCACTTTGTCATACAAAATGGAAATACTATAAGTTAGAAAAATTGATTTAGATTTACACTTAAAATGGCTGCGGGTGCAAAGGGTTAAAGAAATTGTTCATATTCGGATAAAAATGAAGGGATGTTTACGTATAATTGTATAATGATTAG